ATAATTTATATTAATATAAAAAAAATTATTTTTTAATAAAATTATAAATTTTAATATAAAAAAGTTTTAATTTTTATTATATTTTATTAATAAATTTAGTTTTTAATATATTACTTTTAATTATTACTTTATTATAAAGAATAACTTTAAAAAATTTATAAATTTTAATGATTATTTATTTAAAAGTAATAATTAATTTATTTAATAAAGTAAAAAGTTAAATTAAATAAAAAATTTAATATTATTAACTTAAAGAATTATTATTTTATTAATTTTTGAAAATATTAAATAAATTTTAAAGAAATAAAAAGAATAATTTATTATATAATTAAATATTATTATTATATATTATAAAATATATATTAATAAGAAAATAATTAAAAATAACTCTATTTTATATTATATTTAATATATAATTAAAAAGAATTATTAATAAAAGTTTATAATTTTATTTAATAAATCTTTTAAAAAAGAATTAAATATAATAATAATAGTATTTTATAATTTTTATAATCTTATATTAAATTTTATAATTTTTTTATTTTTTTTAATTAAATATTTTGTTATTTTATTATTTTATTATATATATTACTTATTTTATTTTTATATTTTATATAATTTAATATTTTAAGGTTTAATAATTTATTATTATATTTTAGTAATAAATATTTATTTTTAATATAAATTATTTTTATTGATATTATTCTAATTCTTTTTAATATTATAATAAAAATTAAAAACTTAAAAAATGTAATATTTTTTTCTTAATATTATAAGAATTTAATAATAACAATAAAAAATAATTAATTAATATAATATCAAGTAATTATTAAATTTTTTCTTGAATTATTTATATATAATTTTTTATATATAATTATTTAACTTAGAATTTAAACTGAAAAATTATTATAATTAATTAATTTAAATTATAAATTAAAATATTTAGAATAAGTATATTAGATATAACTTTGATTTTTTTAAATTATTAGATTATTAAGTTAAAGTTAAGCATTTTAATTATAAATAAATATAATTTTAGATATTTGATTTATTATTCTAGTTTTTGAATTTTAATTTATTTTGAATTTATTTTTAAATTAAAATAAGTATTACTATTATAAATAATATAATTTTATATTTATTCATATTATAATTAACTTTTATTTAAGTCTTATTCTATTTTTCAATTAGTTCTTTTTCTTTTATCTCATTTTCTTTTTATCTTTTATTTTATATATTTATTCTCTTTTATTCTTGTTTATAATATCATATTTTCTTTATTACAGTAGTAATAAATATAGAATTTAGTTATTTTTATATTCTATAATTTATTTTTAACTTATAAAATATTTATAAATTTGGAATGATTATATATAGAATTATAATAGATAAATTATTATTTGATGAATAAAATTATTATAAAAAGCATAATAATATTAAATACTATTTATAGATGTTTATTAATAATTAAATAATTTGTATTTCAGTTCTTAAAATCTATATTTATAAATATTTATGATTTTATATAGTGATATTAACTGGTTAACTATTAACTGATCAATTCTTTACCAGTTAAAATACTAATTTTATGTTATTCTTAATAGCTATTTTAATATTTTAACATACTTTAGATATTTTGATATACTTTAAATACTTTTTTACTTTCGATATTCTCCAAATTGAGTATCACATATCGAAAGTACTTTCAGATATTAAAAGTTGAAAAGTTGAATAAAATAATTACTTTCGATTAAGAACATAGTCAATTATCACAGGTTTTATTAATTACTGCAGATTTCATTTGATAAATGGTTTTGTCATATCATAAAAACAGTTTCATCAGATATTAATTTAAATTTTTTAAAATCAGAAATAGAGTATGTGCCTGATTTTTTACTAATCTTGAGCTTCAGAATGTATTTAATTGAATACCGACAAATTTCTCTAAATTTATTCACTGTAAATACACATTTTCTTCAGATATATTTTTGATTTAAAGAGAAAGATAGTCAGGTAGGCCACAATCTTGCCTGTATCTTGACATTACCGCAATATCAAAGACAAGATTATGGTAGATTAATTTTTTTCTCATACGAATTATCAAAGGTGGAAGGGAAAATCGGGACACCCGAGAAACCACTCTCTGATCTTGGACTATTGTCGCATTGTTCATACTGGAGTGAGATGAAATCTCGATCCATGATTCGAAAGTTATTTTTCAGAAATTGCAGAGTTTTGGACGTAAACCTTATCGTGCTCAACAAATTATCTTTTTTGTCTGATAGTGTTTTGACGGCGTATATAAAAGCAAAGAAATCTTGTTAAGATCAATGAAGCACTCATATTCGAGAGGACTATAGGTTTATGAATTTAATAACAATTAATGATATCAATATTTACGATCTTCTGTTAATAATTTAAATTTAATCAATATGACAATAGCAATTATCGTGATATTGCCATCACATCCAATTATATAAAAATACATCAGTTTCTCACGCATTTTCAAATAACATGTGTCTATGCTATATTTTTCGGAATCAACATAGACTTTTTTTGCCATCGAAAACATCGGTTTCTCACGCATCTTCCAATAACATATATCTATGCAATATTCGTGTATGTCATCGTTTCAAACATAATTTAATGGCTGTGTTTGTAATCAACATACTTTGACTTTTTTTTGTCATCGAAAACAAATATCGAATCGATATATCGATTTTCGGGGGACCCGGACCGGCTTAATGCATGGTGACCAGAATCTCAGAATCATAAAGTTTTCGTGTCGTGATTTACATTTTTTCGCGCCAATCAACAATGAAAAAACATATATATAGAGGTGGCAAATTAAATCTACAAATTTTTGATAGCTCATATCACATTTGCTCCAATTCAAATAATAATAAGGTCTATCTAGCCCATGTTATGTTGATTTTGGTTACACAACAGCACTATAACTAAAAAAACACCCCGTCGTTCAAGGAAATTTATTATTTCGTCTATTACGCTCAGACATAACTAACCAGCACCAACCAATCAAAAGCGAAGGTACCTATACAAAAAAAATACCTGCTTTGCACATATCTTATTACTCTTTCTCTTCGCCCCGTCGTTGTATATGAATGCTTTTATCTTTCTCAACAAAGAAACGAGTTAACCTCTTCTTTATTTTCCTTCTCATCTCTTTACGTTAGTGTTACTCTATTCGCTTTTTTTAATAAATAGCTAAATAATACTTTTTCCTTTTTATCAAAGTCGCCCTTTATATATTTTATTAACGTACAATAATTCTCTATATTATTTTCAAAATAGCTGGGCTTTATACTATTCTTCCATACTAGAGAGAGTATAGAGTTTGACTACCTATCACACCAACTACAAGCCTATTCCAACTTTAAATAATTATATTTCTGTAATGCCCGGCACGATCTCTCAGACAGCTTATAATGGGTTACCCGCCTATCTTCTGACAGCAGTACTGCCAGCATTGTTTTCGAATCCACCACCACCACAATACAATTATCAGACCCTGACGGCTCATCATTTAAACCAACTTCAACAGGCTGCTGCTATTCAACAACAGCAGCAGCAGCAGCCACAACCTCAGAAACAGTATCTTATGAACATACCTGTAAATTATATTTCATCCGTTGTTGGGCCCCAGGTCTATAATAATAATAATAATAATAATGAAGCAGCAAGCAAACAACAGCAGTATTCTGTTAATAACCACCGTTCCTCGAGCACTTTGAAGTTGGCCGAATTCGCCTCGAATATGGTTTACCAAATGTGGCAATTTAAAAGATCTTCCTCTGCCTTGGCTAGTCAGTATGGAGCTCCACCTGCATTGGATCATAATATCTCACCAACTGCGAGTCCTCAGTTCAGAAATTTCTGTAATCATGTACGTCACTTTATCAAATAGCAAAATCATCATCATCATCATAAATGATTCACCTTTATGTTACTATTTGATGTTATTTAGGTCCTTCAACTGACTCAGCTCTCAGAATCTGCTGTTTTTTTGTCGCTTAAATATGTTCAAAAATTGGTGAAAAATGGAACAATGTTTACTGGGAATAAGGGATCAGAATATCATTTGTTCACCATTGCATTGATGTTGGCCAGCAAGTTTCTTGACGATAATACATTTACGAACCAAACCTGGTCAGAAGTTACAAATATTAGCGTCAAGGAACTTAACAGTATGGAGATGGAATTTCTTGATAATTTGGATTTCAAATTATTCGTGAGCGATACAGAATACATGCACTGGCTACAATGTCTTAATGAATATATGCAAAAACAACATCAACAGTTGCTTCATCAAAGGAATAAATCCGCTTCGGATGCTTCCTTGAGAAATGCTACGTCGACTGTCATCGCTGCTGAAGCTCAGCAACAAAGACAACAACAACAAGATCAACAACAATGTTGGACTCAAAGACTAAATACATTGCAACAGTCATATAAGTATACTTTGACGTCATTGTCAGAGCCACAAACCACTACCACCACTAGTGCAAATGTAATCCAACCGTCCCAACCTCCTATTGGTCGTGCTCAGCCATTTGGGCTTACTTCGTCTATGCGTGCTAAGCAAGCGTTGAATCGTAACCCTAGCAATGGATCAACATTTCACTTGCAACACGTCGAAAGACATAGCATGCCAACCATCAATTTTAAGAATATAATTGATGAAGTGCATCAACATCGATCACAACCACCACGTTATCAACAATCATCATCACCTTCGAATTTGAATCCTATTGGTTCTCATCTTCCGTCGGTTAAATCAAATTTTGGAGGAAATCATTCAACGACACAAGGGAATTATGTAAATATCGATTTAAATTCGAAAAAAAACGGACAGCAATTTCCATCCACGAAATACGCTCAGTCACACTACGGATCTGTTCAAGCTCAGCAAGGCTTGAACATAGTAAATGGAAGCGGTGGCTTTGCCTTCCCTTTTCTTGGATCCTATTCTTTTTATTAATGTGTCGATGTTCCCTTTTTTTCTTTATTTCTCAACAGAATTGAGATTTCTTTCCGCATAATTTTTTACTACTATCTTCTATATTACTTATTAGTTAGTATTTATCCTACTAGCATATTCAATCAATGCTTAGTTTTATATTTATACACATATATAGCTCCCCAGCAAGGAGAATAAGTTAGAAAGATATTAATAATTATGCGTGGTAGAAGGGAAAGGGTTGAGGAGGGGATAAATATTCTATGCAGTGAATTGCAATATATAAATTAACATTTTTTTTCTTTTCGCTTAACGCATAACTGTTAACTTGAACTTTGAAAAAAAATCTTTTTGATCATATTTTTTTGTATCATTTAAAGTTGGGAGACTCTTTACTTTAAGGTTTAGTCACTGGCCCCCACCAACGCATCAACCAACTCACCAACACTTCAACCAGCTCACAACAAACTAACTACTCACTCACCAACATGGACGACATGAACGTGGATAACCACGATATTGACGACCTAATAACCCCTATAATGTCTCTGTCTCTACGTTATCTGTTCTGGAGTCATCAATCACTGATTTAACCATCGCCAATGAAACCATCATTAATGAAATCACTTTGTCAAAGTATGTGTCTCCTATATGGAAAAGCTTTACCATATTAGAAAATGAACCAAAGGTCAAATGTGTACATTGCAAAAAGATGCTTAGTAATAAAAAAGAAAATGGAATGTCTCACCTCCGACATCATCTTAATTCTTGTCAAAGGTCACTTGCTATTGAGGTTAGCTCAGTAAATCAATTAAACGGAAACGGAACCAGAACCGGTCAAACCCAACTAAGATTTAATTCATCAATTAACCTATCATGAATGGAAGACTCAAGCCGAAAAGACCTAGCAAACATGATAATTATAGATAAACTAAGTTTTTCAGTTCGTTGGAAAACAAGGTTTTCTTAATCTTGTTAATGGATTATCACCCAGGTTTACTATCAGCACTGATATAATAAAGCGAGATATTATGAAGGCCTATGATAAAAGAAAAGCTTTAATTAAAACGATTCTTCAGAATGCTAAAGAAAGAATCTCTCTTACTTGTGACACTTTGGATCTTACTTCAGCAACTTGGATACATGGCAATCACTGCACATTTTCTTAATAACGACTGGAAACTTGTTTTTATTCTATTATCATTTAAGTTAATTCCCTCCCTATCCTCACGCTGGAATTAATATCACGAATTGCATTAAAGCTGAAATGGATGATTGTTTTATTACTACTAAGGAGATTGAATATTGATTTTGAAACAATTTCATATATATATAAATTAATAATTATATATTCACAGTTGCAAACTATCACCCTCAATAATGCGGCTTCAAATGATGTCGCAATTCATGAGCTAATTGATAATATCTCGCAAGTCTTAATTAATGTCAAAGATGAAATTTTTCATAACCGTTGTCTTGCTATTATTCTTTAATCTCATTGTAAAAGACGGGTTAAAAAATTTCAAAGGAGATCAGAATGGTATTTATATATAATTGATGATGATTAGTTTACACATAATAACTTAATGGATTTTATAGATTCGTGACTGGCGTCAAAGCAATACATACATCACCAAAGCTGCGTCAAATGTTCATTGATGCTTGTGAATATGAATCTGTTAAAGCTACAATTCCACTGTTGAATTGTGAGACGCGCGTTGAAATTCCACATTTTTGATGCTATAATTAGCGATAAAATTAAAAAATGTGATCATTAGAATGAAAGATAGAGAAGAACTTTCCCCGGACATACCTGATGAAATGGAAAAAGGCAGAGGTTGTTTGTGACATTTTAAGCCCAGTTTACGATTATAATTATTAATTTTAATAAACAAGCCAACTTTGGATTATTTGACGAATTCTTTATCCGAATAATCAAAAACTTTTCTATCAGATCAGGCAAGTTAATTTTGTGCAGTTTTTTTTCTGTCATTTTTTTTAAATCTCTAATTAAATGTTTTCATTATAAATAGATATCTTAAAAGTATCGATAGATTTCTACCTAGCAATTAACAATACGCTTTCCTTGATTTTAGATACTCGTACTCATCTTTTTAAATTGAAAGCTCACTCAAATAACTTCGTCCGTGATACTAGCCAGCCTATGATCGAAAAATTCAATAAGTATTGGGAAGATGGCAGTCTATTATACATGATCGCGTGTATTCTTGGCCCCTGTTACAATTTATATCATTTTATTATCGTGAAAAAGAAAGATAAGAACTAAATTGTATCGACGAAAAAATACATGATATCCGAGCAAGGTAAGTTATTGCTAATTTGTTTGTAATTTATGTAACTTACAATAATAATTTTTAATTTTATATTCTGATTTTTTGATATTTAGCTTTGAAGACATAAATCTTCATAAATATCATTCCCTATCAGCTTTTGAACAATGTTTTCAACCAGAATCGAAGGTACCGCTAGTGCCGAAAATAATTTATCAATACTTGAGGACCGTATTAAGGATTACTTTGAATATATAGCAAGAAAAATCAATCGGATGTACTTTGTAATATCTTGATGAGCAAGTTGCCGCTAAAACCTCTGATGTGCTCGAATGATGGAAAAATAATGATCGTTTTCCAACTTTGCCTGCAATGGCTCGTGATTTTCTTGCTGTGCCAGCCACAAGCGTAGCAACGTTTAACTGTGCTGGTCTTATTATTGATGATTATCATATTTCGTTAGATCCAGATACGGTAGCTGCACTAATGTACCAACGAAACTGGTTAGAGATGTGGATGGGATTTATAAGTTGACAAAGAAAAAATATTAATTTAGATGCTTTTTTTCTTTTTTAAATTTGCGATCTTAACTTGTATATATCAATTTGATAATAAAATAAGATCATAAGATGGTTTCTTTATTATAACCAAGGTTAAAGTTTGACGATTTCCCACTTGGATCATCGCCCTTTTTTTATTACGCGATTAGCATCAATATTTTACAATTTATCTAACTATGCATTCACTTTTAACTCTGATCTGTAATTCATCATCACACACCCGATCTAAATGAAGCGATATTACATATTTGAGCCCGTGGGTAGTTCGTGGGTACCCGTAGCTTGCATGAACCGGATAGTATATCGAATTCTGGATCCTAGGATAAGAGTAAGGGCTTGAACGTTGAGTCCTTATACAGATGTGTAGGGCTAGGATACTGCTACCACCATGCGAAGGTCTCACGTGACATTTGTTCTTACGTAAAGGTAAATCTAATATAAATGTTCTATATTATGTTCTTGTTCTTTTATAGATTGCTCTTATATAGAGGGAATATTAGGAATTAATTGATTGGTTCTATGAAAAGATGTTCTTTATAGGAGTTTGTTCCTTTATGGAGAGTTCTTTTATGGAGGTCTGACTGTAATTGCAGATTTTTAGATTAATAGGGGTTGGGAGTGTTAATGATATAATGACAGGTAATTCTAGCTTTTGTGCTGATATCAGCAAATGTGATGAATGAATAGGCTGATGAATTTCCTTTCTAATTCCATTACTAATTCTAATGCTGCTTTTTCTAGAACTTCCTCGCTTAATGTTTACGATGCCTTTTCTGTTAAAGGTCCTAACCAACAAACAATATGATGGTTACGAGTTAGAAAGATAAGAATCATGTGCGATTCTTGCAGAGTTTTAGCAAGCATTTATTTAATAATATTAATTATTGGGCTGAATGATTTATTATTCAAGTAATTATTTGTTGTCAAATGGTTATTTTTTTAAATTTTTAAGTACACTCTCCTGACACGGGTCATGAGACTTATAAAATTTCAAGTTCGAAATTTTCAACAATCTACATAGCAATTTACGCCAGGTTTTTTTTATCGAAATGTTACATCAATGAAGTTCATTTGACTTTATCAATAAGGTGTAGGATGCCCGTTAGCTTTAACTACAGCTTGAACACAGCGCTCCATACTTTCAATCAAATTTCCATAAACTGATTCATCTATGTTAGACCATTCCTCTTGCAACAGATTGAACAGTTCAGTTTCATTTTTTG